AAATGTTTGAAATTCAAACGGTGGCAGATATACCCCACCCGTGCGAGACATCGATAGGCCACGAATTTTTTCAATGACATAATTTAGCAGGTACACGTATGACGCGACTTGAAACTTAAATAAGACAAGTGTGAACGACGTATCATATCCGAAGCAACGATAATGATCATTTTAGGCGAATACCTGGTGCGAGAAGCGTACGGCTTTCGAAACCTTGGCATCCACGATCATCAACTTTCTTCGCCATCCTCCTCCACCACTTTGATAAAATCGGGTATAAATGGTTTCAAACGTACCACACCTTTTATACCCAAATCCTCATATAAATCTCTGGTCCAATCTGAGAATTCCTTAAAATGTCACGAGATTTGGACGAATCCGACCCTCGACAATCGACAACATTAGACAATCTTTCCACAATTTTTTTCTCGAATTCGCTTCCTCGACGCGTAAGCACCTCGCACAATTCAGATTCATCGTTCGCGTGAGTATATGATTTCCTTTTGTCGCTCCTCCCTCTTTTGTGATACTTTTGTGAAAGATTCTTCAAAAGTTTATTGCAATTGAAGTGATAGTATTTGGAAATCTCTGATATGGTAAGCAAGGGTGCCTCGGTTTCCCTTTCTTTTGATGGCCTTGCCTAAGGAAAAAAATTTGGAAAAATTGTCTATGATTAAAAATGATCAACCAAAAAACAAGATTACTTTGGTATCAGAAAACTATGCAGTAGTGTACTTTGAGAATGAAAAAGATTTAAGGGAGGTACTCCAACATCAAATAAAGATTGACAATCAAGGGTTAGGATGGAGTGCAAAGGATCATTATCATTACAAGGTGTCAGCTGATCTGGCTAGGTCAAGCAATACACATATAATAATTAAAAAAGCAAGATTGCAAAAGTCATGATAGAACAAGTGGAGATAGAGAAAGTAATAAAGATATTATGGTAATTGAAAAAGAAGTTATACTGGCAGTAAGACTCAGAAGCAACAATAGTTGATCAGAAAATAGGAGAAGTACAACAAAGTCTATATTACCAGTAACTGGTAGTAATAGAGAGTCAATAAGAAGGCAGAAACACCAGGAAGCAAACCAAGTTTCATATCAAGCTTTATAATATTCCTCGGAAATAAATGATAAAACTTTAAATATTAGGTGAAATCAAAAGCAAACAACAAGATAGAAAACAAGAAGCCTAAGATCAACTACAAAACAAGAGTCAGATATAATCCAACTAAGTAAAATATTAGAGAAGCTTAATAAATGACTAGACAAACTAGAGAAAGGTTCACTCAAAAGAAAGGCTAACCACTTCTAAAAAAGGTGCAATAGTCCAACTATAGAAAGAGAAAGAATATCAGTCTACCATTTTCAAGTTCAAAATGTAGAATAAGAACAAAGTATCACAAATAGAGAAGAACAATAGTAAATGTTAGTAGAATAATTAAGATCTTTATATCTTCCTACAAATAGAAAAGATAAATTTCTAGAGAGAAATAAAGAGAATTAATAGAAAAAAACAAAAATAGAAGCAAAAACAAAAGAAAAAGATATATAAAAAAGAGTGATTAAAATAGGAATACACAATATCAGAGGTATTACTGATAATACAAACTAGTATAGTCTTATAGAAGAAATACAAAAACAAGACATTAGAATAATGGAGCTATACAAAACAAAACTAATCAATACAAAGGCAAAATGTATCTTTCAGAATCAAATGACTTCAAGCATTTTTACAATATTAATAAAGACATTCCATATGACATAAAGATTAATTTCTTGATAAAAAAAGATCTAAAAAAAAAAGATAGCTTTGATAGAAGAAGTAGAAGAATATATAATAGCAATTAATATGCTCATAAAATAAAACAAGATATGTATTATCCAGATTTATATTCCTTCAAACAAATGATAAAGTAAGAAGGTATAGAAAAGAGTACAAAGTTTTATTAAAGAAAAAAATAGACAATGTTTTCATATAATAGTAATAGAAGACTTTAATGTTATATACAATTTTGCAGAATATAGGACATCAATATCTAGAACTAAATTTAAATCATCTTAATATCTGGAAATACTGCTATTCAACTTTTTAGATAAGTGATTCTTTCTTGACATATAAACTATATGAAAAAGAAAAGATAAAACTTTAATAAAATAAGATGCTACTAGCAGTAATCAGATTGATTATATATGGATATTTCAAGCATTACAAACTATCTAATACTCAAATTCGATAACCAAAGTATGGAAGAAACAACAAAAAGTGATTACACTATGTTAGTGTTGACAATATATAATATTGATCTCTTTATAAGAGATATTAAAAACAAGTTTTCCACAAAGAGTAAATAAAGAATCAATATAAAGGGGTCAATATCTGAGTAGTGGAAAGCATTTAGTAGAAGCCTGAATCACAAACTCAGAATGGCAATAGATTCATTGTTTAAAGAAGAGCCTGAAAAAGGTAAAAGAGAAGTTCAAGCAAATAAGATCTGTAAGACATTTTAAAAACAAATATGTAAGGCAGCACATAACAAACTTGCAATCAAGAAGTTATCTGCTTCTCAGGAAAAATATCATAGGCATGAACCAGAATTCATCAAGTATCGAAGGGCTTTTCAGCTATTTACACTCTTTAAGAAGGCAAAAAGTACACATGATTCAATCAAATTACTAGCTTTTAATATGGTGATTAGAAAACACAACACTATATTCAGTCCTAATCATCAGATCAAAAACTATTGTATCCAATATATCATTTCTCAAATTCTATAGAAACTCTTAAAAAAGGATATATAGGATGCCTAAAACTTGCTTGTCAGAACACAGAGGCAAAAAAAACAAGGAATGCTATTTAAAAAACCTTGGAATAAAGATGTAATGATTTATATAGCAATTAAAGGAAAATAGTAAACTTCTTGACTGACAAAGAGTAAATCAAAATAATGTTGGACAGGATCAAAATTAAAGACAGAAAAAAAGAATATATAACTATCAAAAAAAAAAAAATTAAAAAGAAAATAAGAAGATATTATTGTGAGATATTCAAAAAATAAAATGCCAATTTTGACAACTTTACTGAAGATTGGAAAGAAGAATACAATCCTAAAGACTATATTAAAAAAAGGTAGTACAAAGATCTACTGGAGCCAATCTCTCAAGAAGAACTACACAAAATGTTTCAAGGACTTTCCAATAATAAAGCTTTAGGAAGATTGCAAATTAGTTATAAAATATTAAAAAAACTGAATCAAGAAGGAAAAAAATATCTTAAAAAGATACTTAACTGCTTTTTAAGATGGAAAGTTATTTTAATAGAATAGAAGCAAAGTCATATATATCCTATAGCAAAATCAAAACCATGAAAATATAAACTCCTTAATACTAAATTGATAGTGTTACTAGAGATTATATAAAAATACTTCATCAAGATCCTCACAAACAGATTGAAAAATATCTGCAAGATCAACAATATCCTGAGAGGATCTAATTATGCAGAATTATCAGGAAAAAGTATAGTAAAACTGATTTAAATTTTCAATCCATTTGTGAGAAAGCAAGAGAAAATAAAAAGAAGTTATAGATACTTTTTCAAGATATAGTAAAAGTATATAATACTATTAGCTTGAATATATTAATTAAGGTAATGAATAGAATCAAGATATCAGAAGGCTTTATCCAAATCATAATAAATCTATTTCAAAATTAAAAATTTAAAGTCATATTTGAAAAAGATTAACTGAGATAATTATAACAGAAGATGGGATTGATCAAGAAGAAACTATCTCACTACTAATGTAAAAAATATTTTATAACTCTTTATTGTACAAGATTCAAAATAATAAAACAAAAAGCTATAAAATGTCAATGATTTGAGATCTAGAGTTAAAGGGAAATACTGAAAGAAAGCTAGAGTCAAGGTATGCAGCTATCAATTTATAAATAATATAATATAGATAGCAAGATTTAAAAAAAGATTTTGGAAGAAGCAAAGTTCTTTTATAAGGTAAATGGCTTGTAAATTAATAATAACAAATTAGTATTAATTATTATTAACAATCTCAATCAATATCCAAAAGAGATTTAAACAAGGATCAATAGAGAAGTAGTTAAAGAATTGGATAGAGCTGAATAGACAAGATTCTTGGAGATCTGGATAGGTATGAGAAATCTACTATCAAGCTCAAAGAATAGATACTTAAAGAAGTCAACATGATTACCAAGTTCCTAAAAAACAAAAGGTTCATTGATAAACAAGCACTTTATATTCAAAACAAAGTCCTAATACCTAGAATCAAATTCAGAATACAACATAGTGTACTATCCTGGCAAATTTGTAATACTCTGATAATGACATATAGAAAGCTGTTCAAAAATAAGACCACATTATACTGATCCATACCTAATAGTGTAGTATACCATCCCAGGATTTATAATTTAATGAATACTTAGATGTTGCAAAAAGAAAATCTGATAATAGGATTATACAATAGATTAAATAACTTAGGACTAGCTGAAATTATAGCAATTATCAGGTTAAAGCAATCACAGGTTAAATACTGGAAATCTCTTAATCTGTTCACGTATAACTTACTAAATAATCTTCTAGAAAGGGACAACTTTATATTACAAGTACTGAAACTAACCAAAGATATGGAGGTAACCTTTCATAGCTAGAAGTGAAGTAATGTCTTCAATTGGAGCATCAGAAATAGTTCAATTAAAGATCATCTGACAATAGATGAATACAGTAAAGCCATTTTATCATTCAAACACAATAAGTTGATATATATGGATCAGCTTATCAACTATAAAACTAGAGAAGTATAGAACTGGCAAATGCTTCAACTTTTACAAAAGACAAGTAAGGGATCTATTTCAAAATGATACTTGTCAATAAAAGAGAGATATAAGAAAACAAACTAGGACAGCTCATAAGGTCTTGAAAAGAAGATTGATTAAAGTAAAGTCCAAAACATCCAGTACTCAATTTCAATCTCAATAAAAGACAAAAACTTTGGATAATCATCAAGAACAATAATCAGTAACAACAACTTGTTTGAGGAAAGTTGATTTTAAGTAACAATAAAAGATATATTAAAATTGATTATTTTAAATATAACAACTTCAAGAAAAATTTAGGATCAAACCTGATGTGATGTCAGGGCTGGCTCAAGACTAAAAACAGAGATATATATATATATATATATACTGTATATATATTTTTAAAATGCTGGTTAAATCTTGTTTTATTTGTATACTATATTTGTAGCAAAATTACATAGGAAGGCTATCCTAGAACTTACTACCTGTTTTCTACCAAATAAAACTCAATAGAGAATTTTCTTTATGGAAGTACTCTCCTTGCAGCTTGTTGTCACCCCTTGTAAGGGAGCTAA